CTTTAATCGTCAATTTCACGCCTTTCTATTTTGAGGTTAGATAGCAATCGGTATTGGGGGTAACTTCATCCCTGAACAAGATTTCATCACGAACATTGGTTGAGTTGGCCAGGTGGGTATAAGCTACAATCTCTTGCCGTCATTGTGGTATAAATGTTTTTGTTATGGAGTTATGAGCCCCTTATTACAGATGTTAAATAAACAAAGACTTTTTTGCTTTATCAATGATAAAATCTGAACTCAGACTTTGAAGAAAAAATCACTGGCAGTGTATGGAGTACAACAGGCAAGGCTCCCACAAACTGGATAATTTTGTCTTTTTCATTCCGAACCAGCAAATGGAAGCTCGGGACAAATATTGCAAATATTTACTGTATAGCTGGGGCGTTGTGTATATATACTGGAACTGAATACAATAAAGTGGTAACATTTCATAATTATCCTAATCGCTTTATTCCAGTATTGATGGTTCCAATAAGGACAGGTGTATCTTTAATCAGTAACCACCGTCGAACTCATCAAATTCGATCATGTTGTCTCCATTTAAGTCCATTTTGACAAATTCCTTATCGAAATTCAATGCGGATCTCTTGGAACCGCTCAGTTCCGTTACTGCAGCAAAGAATTCGTCCTTGGAAATGTGATCATCTCTGAAACGTGTGATAAGATAATGCAACAGGTGAATCGGATTGACGAATCAAAACTTCATATGCTTCTGCTTAATGTTTACTTTAAATAAATATTATTATTATTATTATTACTTCAGCTAATTTCTATTGACTTCTCTCCGCTAAGAAATGTGATAGCAGGTGAGAAAAAAATGTGTGGCCATACACCAAGAAGAAAACAGGTGATTGCAACTCAAAGGAAATTATTTTGATAATCCACAAAAACGAATTGAAACGAATTGAGCTGGTTCATTATGTATCTTTCAATTGACTTTTATTAATGAAAGTCTAAATAACAGACATGTATCAGTTTTTAGTGCTACTGTTTTTTCTTACCCGTAAATGTCAATGTTACTGAATACGTCTCTGTACACACCGAATGTATTGAACAGTTTCATGACCTCAAGTACCTCATGGTTCTGTAGAGTAGCTTGTATGAGTTGTATGAGTTAGTGACGGGTATGTATTTATTTCTAGTAAAACTTACTCTCTTACCCGTCAGTGTCAATGTTTCTGAATACGTCTCTGGGGTTAACGACACGTTTCGACAAGGGGCGTGCCAGCGATCTCTTGTTAAGGCACGTGCATGTAGCTGATCGACTATTGAAAAAGAAGACATGCTATTTATATGCGAGATAAGTCAATATGTTCAGTCAGTATTTCATACAAAGGACAACTAACGAATGATCTACGCATGTCACTGACTTATAGGTCTCATAGAGCTGCCACTCCTGTATGACTCGGAACAAGACAATTCGTTTCTTTTTTTTCCTTTTTCACAAAAACCTAATATTGTAATGCTGGGAGGCGCATATTAAACCTGCTTGGCTGCTATATTCACTGTAAGTAACTTTTTTGCTTTTCACAGTATTCAGAATGGCTGCCAGTAATGAAAAAAAAATCAATTTTAAAATAGAACAAAATCTTAAGAAACGCAAGTAAGGCCTGCTCACAAAAGTGCACTTAATGGGAACAGACCGAATACTTTAGGACAACGCTTCCCCTGTACTTACAACCAGCCCCCGCTCTCCACTCTGATCTCGGAGCACCCAGATCTGCAGCCACCTTGGCAGTTGCAACCGAAAATGTTGCACGAACCTACCCCACAATAGTAAACTGTCTGAAAAATTATACGCAAATGATATGAATTGGGGCCATTGTTATACAGGAAACAAAGACAAAAAGCTATACACTTTGATCGCAAAGAAAAATAAATCACCTGACTGTATACTTGTAATCATTGTAATACCTGTAATCATTGTTTAAGGCGGAATCTAATTAATACAAACATTACAACAAGCAAATAATAACCGAAAACTATTTCAATTTCTTGTACTGTTTCTTAATAAGACACAGGATGATCTTACTGAACTACAGTCTTCACAGAATTCTCCCTTAGGAGGAACACAGCATACTGCTTGAGCGTATTTTATAACAAGTGCTGCGGAAAAAGCAGCAATAAAAATGGTTACTGGCAATGAAGCCATTTTCTGAAATAAGAAGAATGAAGATATTAGATATGAGCCTTTCGCCGCCCTTACCCCAACAAGACTTTGGGTCGCATTAGTCAGAGATCAGGATACAGTAAGGGTGCCTTCTATGGGCCCTTTCTCTACATGGTAATATTCACCATTTCAAATTAGGGTTTATGTCATCACCAAAGCAGAAGCTTTCAATGTAATATAATTTCCTTGTTCTACGAATAATATGATTATGGTGACCAGCTGAATTGACATTTGGATATTAATAATTTTCACTTTCTTTACCATTTCTTTTTCTCCCGATGTCAAAATATGGTTTAATTTGAAACACTTTAATACTGACTGCATAAACACGGCTTATACATCTACATACCTCTGGTTGCTTTTGTCGAATAAACGATGTTCAGATATATTATTTATAAATAATGCCAATCTTTTTCTGTACCATCACTCTCACCAGGGCTATATTATACGTACAAAGTTATTAACGCTGTTTTTATTTCACAAAAGCAAAATGGCATTGTTATCCTTGCCAGTGTTTTAATCTCTTTGGTAAAAACTGCATAAAATTACAAATGTATTTTGACTAAATGCCGAGAAGTGCTGCAATGAACTGATGGACACGCATTACTAGTACCTTGCAAAAACATTTCCTTAAACGATTGCAGCTAGAAACAGACCATGAGCAAGGTTCTTCACATTTAAGATAATCTTGTCTTTTTACTTTTTTACCATGGGCTGCATGGACACAGTTATCACTGAGTGCCTTCTACATGTACAAAAGTGATGTGCACAGTGTTCTTCTTCACTGTGGTGTGCAGCTTTATTTCCAGCGAGAAATTTTCGTATTTAATTAATGCCACCACTAAGCTTGCCTCTAGTATACAGAGCATTCGATGAAAGGGATCGAAGCAGGGGCGGATCCAGAGCTATTTACTGACAGTCTTCCAAATTATCTTTGCTGATTCATCCTCCAATTTTGACCGTCTTCCAACAGAAAAAATTAGATACCCGTCAATGTTAACTTGAAAATCTAACCGTCTTCCGGAAGACCCAGAAGACAGCCTAAATCCGCCCCGGCGAAGTGGTGACTTTTTTTTCATAACAGCAGTATAGTTTTGTCAGTCTTCTCAAAGTTTAAGTTAGCAAAGACTTTATTAAACACCGAATATACTTTGACTAGGTTCATGGCGTATTGAAATAAAGTGAGAGACACGTACAGTGTATTACATGCTCTACCTTGTGCATAATGATATAATTGATTTTTAAAAAGTATTGCAATTAAAATAAGACAATGAAAGTGGTTCCTATGATATTAGATAATTTTAGACTTTTTCCACCTGAACCGGGAAATGGAAATTCGACAGCAATTATTAAAAAATCTACGTTATCATGCTGCAACGCTCGTGAGAACATTTTAAACAGGTTAGAACTGTATGCAAAAGGGAAAACATCTTTGTTTTGTGGATCACTTCACTTCATTGTTGAAAGCACATCATATACAGGTGTACCTGTATCTTCAATTATTGACCCCCGCCTCCAAGTTGTCTATCATGTTGTCTTCATCTAGACAAATTCTTTGTCAAAATTTAATGCATATCTCTTGGCGCCGTGGAACTCCGCAACTGCATCCAGGAATTCTTCCTTGGAAATGTGATCACCTCTGAAACGTGTGATAAGATAATGCAACAGGTGAATCGGTTTGTTGAATCATAACTTAATGACCAGCTCACTTACAATTTGAAAATTTATCTTTTCTGCATTTCTTCACAACCATTCCTTGTTTATCCGTTGTTGCTTTAATTTGATAAAAACCCTATACTAGTACACACAGAGCTGCATTGACACGACCTACCTGTGGTTAAATTTGTCATATGGAATAAAGGGCACTTTGCTATACAATATATCTAAAATGGCAATATTTTTCTACATTGTTTGCAAGTTGTTGGCATTGTGTTTTTGCATCCCGCACGCAGTAATAACCGTAGGTTTTATTGTTATAAAGGCTTTGTTAGCATTTTCAGTGTTTTAGTCTATGAAGCAATAAACTGCAAAATACTACAGGAAATTCTGGATCGCACTAAGCAAGGGGCACGTATTGCTACTTTGTACAAAATGATGAATTAAAAACCTCAGTAAATACAACTTTTTCTACAAGTATTGCGACTTAAGGCTATTTGACCCTTCATTATCATCCAGATACAAAAAATGAGTTTTTTCCTGCATCTAATTGTTCAAAAATGCATCTTTGTGCTGATTCAAAACGATGAAAAATTCCTCGAAAATTTAAGATATCGGCGTTCATTTTTTTCATCGCAATATTTAAGCATAGGCAACCCAAAGTTATAATCAATTTAACGCCTTTCTATTTTGAGGTGGGATAGCAATCGTTATGGGGCGTAACTTCATCCCTGAACAAAATTTCATCACGAAAATTGGTTGAGTTGACCAGGTGAGTATCAGCTACAATCTCTTGCCTTTATTGTGGTATAAATGTTTTTGGTATGGAGTTATGAGCCCCTTATTACAGATTTTCATGAAACAAATGCATTTTTTTACTTCATCAATGATAAAATCTGAATTCAGACTTTTAAGAAAAATCGCTGGCAGCGTATGGAGTACCATAGGCAAGGCTCCCATAAACTGGATAATTTTGTCTTTCCGTTCCAAGCCAGGAAATGGAAGATCGGCAGAAATATTGCAAAATTTTTCTGTATCAAGCAGACTACCACACTCGTTGGTGCATGGTGTAAATATACTGGAACTGAATACCATAAAGTGAAATGTCATAATTATTCTTATCGCTTTATTCCGGTGTTGACGGTTCCAATAAGGACAGTTGAATCTTCAATCAGTAACCACCGTCGAACTCATCAAAATCGATCAAGTTGTCTCCATTTAAGTCCATCTTGACAAATTCTTCATCGAAATTCAGTGCAGATCTTTTGGCACCGTGGAACTTCACAACTGCATCCAGGAATTCGTCCTTGGAAATGTGATTATCTCTGAAACGTGTGATAAGATAATGCAACAGGTGAATCAGGTTGTCGAATGACAACTTCAAATGTTTCTTCTTAATGTCTATTTCAGCGAATTTTTTTGACGCAGTTTTACCTCCGCTAAGAAATTTTATAGCAGGTGAGAAAAAATAACATTCATGGCCGTTCATCTAGAAGAGAACAGGTGATTGCAACTCAAGGATAATTACTTTGATTACCCACAAAAACAAATTGAAATGATTTGAGCAGGCTTATAAACTATCTTTCAATTTACTTTCATTAATGAAAGTCTAAGTAACAGGTATGTTCCAATTTCTAGTGCTATTGTTTTTCCTTACCCGTCAATGTCAATGTTTCTGAATACGTCTCTGGGGTTAACGACATGTTTAGACAAGGGACGTGCCAGCGATCTCTTGTTTAGGCACTCGCATGTAGATGATGGACTATTGAAAAAAGAAGATATGCTATCTAAATGCGAGGTAAGTCAATAATAACACACAAAGGACCATTAACTAATGATCTACGCATGCCACTGGCCAATAGTATGCCACTCCTGTATGACTCTAGCCAAGAACCAGCAATGCTCTCCGTACGATGTTCTTTTTCACAGAAACCTTATATTGTAATATTGGCAGGGGCATATTAAAGAGAAGTTTGTTGAAGACAAACGCTTTTTTATGGCGACGGTTAACTTTATTGATTTCATGGGCCGTTGGAAAGTTTCATTTAAAATATCTGGGTTAATTCAACATTATGTAATGCTATAAAACAACTAAACACTATTCTTCTAATAGAGGTTCCTTTCAATAAAAGCGGCCGGCCAAATTAGAACACCACATTTGTGCTTGTCCTTTACTTACACTTTTGCGTGGGTTAATGAGGAGACATAAATGTGCTTGGCAGCTATATCCACCGTGACTTACTTGATTTCCGCAGTGTTTAGAATGGCTGCCAGTAACAAAAAAAATCAACCTTTTATCAATCAACCTTTAGAACAAAATCTTAGCAAAAGCAAGTAAGGCCTTCTCACTAAAATGCACTTACATGGAAAAGACCGAACACTTAGGGATAACGTTTCACCTGTACTTACAACCAGCCCCCGGACACCACTACTTTGATATCGGCGCATCCGGATTTGCAGCCACCTTGGCAGGCACAACCGAAAAGGTTGCACCAACCTACCCCGCAATATGTATACGTCTGAAATATTATACACAAACGATATGCATTTGCTCCATTACTATACAGGAAACATAGACAAACAGCTCCACTTTTTTATCGTAAAGTAAAATAGAAAATGACGATGGTATAATACCCGTAATCATTGCTTTGAGGGCAATCTATTTAGTACAACAATAACAACAGGCAAATAAAAACTGAAAACCATTTCAATTTCTTGTACTGTTTCTAAACTAGATACAAAATGTCTTACTTCGCTACAGTCTCCACAGAATACGTCGTTAACAGTGTGACAGCATACTGCTTGAGCATGCTTTATAACAAGTGCTGCAGATAACGCTACGATAACAATAGTTACCGGCAAACAAGCCATCTTCTGGAATAAGAAAAATGAAGATATAAGACAAGAGCCCTTCGCCGCCCTTTACCCAACAAGACTTTTGACCATACCAGTCAGAAAATAAGGATACAGAGAGGCCATGGAGACTTCTAATCGCCTGTTCCCTACCGACCAAATCGGGATTGGATGTGATAATATTTCCTGTTATACGAATGATATGATTGTGACCAGCTAAATGCCCATTTGAAATTTTATAATTTTCACTTTCTTGACCATTTATTTTTCTCCTGATGCCGAAGTACGGTTTTCTTTGAATATCTAGGAGGCCTACTGCTAACTGCATGAACACGGATTATAGTTCTACCTACCTGTTGTTGCCTTTGTCTAATGAACGATGTTCTGATATATTATATGGCGACGAAATCTTTTTCTGCACCATCACTCTCATCAGCGCTGTATTATACGTACAAAGTTATTAACGTTGTTTTTATTTCACAAATACAAAATGACATTTTAAACCTTGCCAGTGTTTTAGTCTCTTTGATTAAAACACTGCATAAAACTACAACGTTATATTGGCTAGATACCGAAAAGTACTGCAATAAACTGATGGACACGCATTACTAATACTCTGTAAAACATTTCTTTAAACGATTGCAGCTAAAACCAGACCATGAGCAAGGCTCCTTACATTTAATATAATCCTGTCTTTTTACTTACCACGGGCTGTATGGACACATTGATCACCGAGCGCTTTCTACATGAACAAAGGTGATTTGCACATTGTTTTTCTTCACTATGGTGTGTAGCTTTTTTCCAGCGAGACATTTTCGCATTAAATTAATGCCATCACTAAGCTCGCCTCTAGTACCGGACATTCGATGAAAAGGATAAAAGTGGTGTTTTTTTTCTTTTATAACGGCAGAATAGCTTTGTCAGTCTTCTCAAAGTTTAAGTTAGCAAAAACTTTATTAAACACCAAATATACTTTGACTAGGTTCGTGCCGTATTGAAATAAAGTGAGAGACACGTACATTGTATTACATGCACTACATTGTGTATAATGATTGATAACAGATCAAACAAAATAATTGATTTAAAAAAGTATTGCAACGAAAATAAGACAATGAAAGTGGTTCCTATGATTTTAGATTATTTTAGATTTTTTCCACCTGAACCGGGAAATGGACATTCGACAACAATTATTCAAGAATCTTAGCCATCATGCTAACTGAAACGCTCGTGAGAACGTTTTAAACAGGTTAGAACTGTATGCAAAAGGGAAAGCATCTGTATTTTGTGGATCACTTCATTTCATTGTTAAAAGCACATTATATACAGGTGTACATGTATCTTCAATTATTATTATTGACCCGCCAACTCCATCAAAAACGAGCATGTTGTCTCTCATGTTGTCTCCGTCTAGACAAATTCCTCATCGAAATTCAGTGCAGATCTCTTGGCACCGCGCAACTTCACAACTGCATCCAGGAATTCGTCCTTGGAAATGTGATCATCTCTGAAACGTGAGATAAGATAATGCAACAGGTGAATCGGTTTGTTGAATCACAACTTCAAATGTTTCTGCGTCTTAAGTGAATATGATAGTATTTACCTTTTTTCTGGATTCACGGCGTCGGTGGAGCAATTTCAATAATTTCCTATTATGCAAATGACAAGGTGATGACCAGCTCATTACAATTTGGAACTTTCTCTTTTTTGCATTTCTTCACAACCATTCCTTGTTTATCCGTTGTTGCTTTAATTTGATTAAAACCCTATATTAGTACACACGGAGCTGCATTGACACGACCTACCTGTGGTTAAATTTGTCATATGGAATAAAGGGCACTTTGCTATACAATATATCTAAAATGGCAATATTTTCCTACATTGTTTGCAAGTTGTTGGCATTGTGTTTTTGCATCCCACATGCAGTAATAACCGTATATAGTTTTTATTGTTATAAAGGCTTTGTTAGCATTTTCAGTGTTTTAGTCTATGCAGCAAAAACTGCAAAATACTACAGGAAATTCTGGATCGCACTTAAATAAAGCAAGGGGCACATATTGCTACTTTGTACAAAATGATGAATTAAAAACCTCAGTGAATACAACTTTTTTCTACAAGTATTGCGCCTTAAGGCTATTTGACCCTTCATTATCATCCAGATACCGAAAATGAGTTTTTTCCTGCATCTTATTGTTCAAAAATGCATCTTTGTGCCGATTCAAAACAATGAAAACTTCCTCGAAAATTTAAAATATCGGCGTTCATTTTTTTCATAGCACTATATAAGCATCGGCAACCCAAAGTTTTAATCAATTTAACGCCTTTCTATTTTGAGGTGGGATAGCAATCGGTATGGGGCGTAACTTCACCCCTGAACAAGATTTCATCACGAAAATTGCTTGAGTTGACCAGGTGAGTATGAGTTACAATCTCTTGCCTTTATTGTGGTATAAATGTTTTTGGTATGGAGTTATGAGCCCCCTGTTACAGATTTCCATCAAACAAAGGCATTTTTTGCTTCATCAATGATAAAATCTAAACTCAGACTTTTAAAACAAATCGCTGGCAGCGTATGGAGTACCATAGGCAAGGCTCCCATAAACTGGATAATTTTGTCTTTCCGTTCCAAGCCAGGAAATGGAAGATCGGCAGAAATATTGCAAACATTTACTGTATCAAGCAGACTACCACACGCTGGGGCGTTGTGTATATATACTGGAACTGAATACAATAAAGTGGTCACATTTCATAATTATCCTAATCACTTTATTTGTAATCACTATATATGTGTTGACGGTTCCATTAAGGACAGGTGTATCTTCAATCAGTAACCACCGTCGAACTCATCAAATTCGATCATGTTGTCTCCATTTACGTCCATCTTGACAAATTCTTCATCGAAATTCAGTGCAGTTCTCTTGGCACCGCGCTGCTTCACAACTGCATCCAGGAATTCGTCCTTGGAAATGTGATCATCTCTGAAACGTGTGATAAGATAATGCAACAGGTAAATCAGGTTGTCGAATCACAACTTCAAATGTTTCTGCTTAATGTCTACTTCAGTGAATTTCTTTTGAAGCAGTTTTACCTCCGCTAAGAAATTTTAGAGCAGATGAGTAAAAACTAACGTTCATGGCCATACATCTAGAAGAGAACATGTGATTGCAGCTCAAAGAAAATCATTTGGATGATCCACAAAAACGAAATGAAACGAATTGAGCAGGTTCATAAACTATCTTTAAATTGACTTTTATTAATGAAAGTCTAAGTAATAGGAATTTACCAATTTATAGTGCTGCTGTTTTCTCTTACCCGTCAATGTCAATGTTACTGAATGCGTCTCTGTACACACCGAATGTATTGAACAGTTTCATGAATTATGTCATGTTTCTGTAGAGTAGCATGTATGAAATAGTAACGGGCGTGTATTCATTTCTAGTGAAACTTACTCCCTTACCCGTCAATGTCAATGTTAGTGAATACGTCTCTGGGGTTAACGACATGTTTCGACAAGGGACGCGGCATCGATCTCTTGTTTATGCACGTGCATGTAGCTGATTGACTGTCGAAAAAAGAAGATATGCTTTCTATGTGCAAGGTAAAACAATATTTTCAGTCGGTATTTCATACAAAGGACCATAACGAATGATCTACGCATGTCACTGGTAAATAGGCCTAATAGAGCTGTCACTCCTGAATGAGTCGGAACAAGACCAGCAATTCGTTTCTGTTTTTTTCTTTTTCTTTCACAGAAACCTTATATTGTAATGCTTGGAGGGTCATATCTACTTGGCTGCTATATTCACTGTAAGTAATTTTTTTTGCTTTTCACGGTACTTAGAATGGCTGCCAGTAATGAAAAATGTCTTCCTTAAAATAAAACAAAATCCTAACAAATGCAAGTAAGGCCTGCTCACAAATGCACTTAAATGAAAAAGACCGTACACTTTGGGATGACGTTTCACCTGTACTTACAACCAGCCCCCGCCCTCTACTCTGATATCGGAGCACCCGGATCTGCAGCCGCCTTGGCAGTTGCAACCGAAAACGTTGCACGAACCTACCCCACAATAGTAAACTGTCTGAAAAATTATATGCAAAGGATGTGAACTTAAGCCATTATTATACAGGGAACAAAGACAAAAAGCTTTACACTTTGATCGTAAAGAAAAATAAGCTACCCGACTTTATTATAATACCTGTAATCATTGTTTCAAGTGGAATCTACTTAAAACAATCATAAGAACAAGCAAATAACAAATGAAAACTATTAAATTTCTTGTGCTGTTTCCAAATTAGACACAAAACAATCTTACTTTGCTACAGTCTCCACAGAAGTCAGCCACGACAGTGATACAGCACACTGCTTTAGCGTGTTGTATGACAAGTGCTACGGAAAAAGCTGCAATTATAATGGTTACCGGCAAACAAGCCATTTTCTGAAATAAGAAGAATGAAGATATTATATATGAGGCTTTCCCCCAACAAGATTTTGACCACATCAGTCAGAAGATCAGGATACAGTACGGGTGCCCTCTAAGCACCGATCCTGTATGTGGTTTCACCGTTTCAAATCAGGATTTATGTTGTTGCATAAGCTTTTAGTGAAATATTATTTTCCTTAACTACGGCTGATATGATGGTGACCAGCCAAAAAGGCAATTTGGAAATTAATAATTTTCTTTACCACTTCTTTTTCTCCTGACGCTGAGTTATGATTTGAATTGAAACTCTATACTACTGCCTGCATTAACTCAGCTTGTGAATCTACCTACCTGTGGCTGGTTCTGTCGAATGAATGATGTCCTGATATGTTATTTATCAATAATGACAATCTTTTTACTGCACCATCACTCTCATCAGCGCTAAATTTTACATACGCAGTTTTTATTTCACAAATGCAAAATGACATTGCTAACCTTACCAGTGTTTTAGTCTCTTTGGTAAAAGCTCCATAAAATTACAATTGGTATTTTTACTAGATATGGGGGAAATACTGCAATTAAGCGATGAAGTCACGCGTATTACTAGTACCTTGTAAAGATGATTAATAACAAAATGAACGATTTTTAAAATCATTTCCTTAAAGCTAAAAACATACCATGAGCAAGGTTCTTATATATAAGATGATTTTCACTTTTCCAATCTGAACCAGGAAATGGCTGTTGCTCAGCATGCATATATACAGACTATAAAGTATAACTTTCACAATGAACTGCGTGGACACACTGACCACCAAATGCCCTCTCCAAGGGACATTCACAAAATGTTTAACATAAAATTTGTGCTAATAAATACGTGGGGGAGTCAGATTTTCATGTTACATCGGGGTCCTTAACGGCCCTATCCGGTACGGCTATGGTTAACCCAAGATTCTCCTTGGCGCAGAAGAATATGCTTTTAATGTAATATCATTTTCTTGTTCAACAAATTATATGATGGGGACCGCCTCAATTGCAATTTGGAAATAATTGATTTCCGCTTTTCCCCACTTTTTAAAATCTTGTCCCTGAAACATGATTTTCATTGACAGCCATGGCATCTACCTATTAGTGGTTCGTATTGAACTGCTATGTAGTGTATTCTATATTATAACAACCTTTTTCTGTATTGTTTGCATGTCACCAGCGCTGTATTTTACATTAGACCCGTATGCAGTAAATTACGCTTCTTTTTCCTTTCATAACAGCAAAATAGCATTGTCAACCTTGTCAGAGTTTGAGATGGTAAAAACTGCATAAAACTACAAATGTAGTTCGACTAGGTTCGGGCCGTATTGAAATACAGTGAGAGACACGTATTACACGTACTACCTTGTGCAAAATGATCGATAACAAATCAAATGAATAAATAATTTTCTAAAATTATTGAAGCTAAAATCAGACCATAAAAGGGATTCCTATAATATTAGATAATTTTAGTCTTCTTCGATCTGAACAAGGGAATGGAAATTCGACAGCAATTGTTCAAAAACCTACGTTATTGTGCAGACTGCATGGCTCGTGAGAACATTTTAAATGAGCTGGAACTTTAAATAAATTTAACAATTTCACATGTTGAAATTCATTTTATTTCTTATGCAGTCATAATTTTATCTCAGTGAGTGTTTAACTTATTAAAAAATCTATGTCAAAAATATAATTTACATGGATTTTTAACTGCTTTTACTGCAATCTACACCAGTATTTCATGGCATTTAATCTTGATGAAGTTGATTTCAAAATATTTGAAAATAATTCTTTAAACACTGTGAATATGAAATAATCCTGTCCTGGAATAAATCCATCATTTATGACAGAGAGAAAATAATGCTTCATTCAATATAAAAATTCTGACAGTTAGGAAAACACTGGCCAGGCACCACAATTGCTTATACAAGGGTAATACAATATCCTAATTCAACAGCTGACTTAGCAGCTGATGCTGTTTATTTCTGCTTGGTATCAGTTATGGAACTGTCTCCATACAACTAAAGATAATACACAACAGACAATATACTTTTTATTCTGACTCTCAAATAGTATCCAATATGGATGTTATTTAAGAGTCAGAACACATTTCTCAAACTTGGTCCGAATAAGAAGATACTGATAGACTACATAACTCATTACTCTTGATCTAAAAAATAAATAATAAAAAGATGAAAAAATGTTTTAAAAAAATTAGTAAATCTTATAATGTTTGTGATGAGATGACTAGGAAATACTGCAGCCAGTGTGGTTAGGCATTAGCCTGATGCAAGAGCAAATAAAAAGGTTTTAACTAAAAATAATACCACTAGTCCACTTTTACAATCTGATTGCCTGAAGGGCTAGTAGCTTTCAAGAGTTTCTGAAACAGACAGAAAATATAAAGTAATCAAAAGAAATCGGCTGCCTTTGCCCTTTTTGCTTTGACAGCTGATCTTGTCCTTTTGTAGATGGCGCCACCTGAGGGGGGTGTCTTGAGTATGCCCTGTTCAGGAAGTTTCTCTGGGTTGAAGGCTGGGGCTGGGCTGGGCTTCAAACTCTCCTTGAACTCTAAACATAAAACAATCAAATAAACCTTGAATGAAGTTATGCAATATTTAAGTATTTGTACGAGGAAGACGCATGTCAAGATGTGTCGGGCATGTCAAACTTAAGGTATTCATCATAAGAATTATATTGACTGTGAATAGTAATGTATTGCTGCCCTTAAAGTTTCTGCCGTATACCTATTTACAATGTAAATTTAATATTTTTTTACAACATTGACTGGAAAATGACTTAAATTATTCATGAAGTTGCAACATCTGATGCCTCATTATATTTCTATATCTGTAGCATTCTGGTACTGCAAATTCTATGAAAAATTAGGTCTGATACTGCCTGCATACATACACATATGTTAAAACAACACAAGATGTGAACATACTATGTTGGATGGGTGGGCACAGGGTAAAACAATGAACAAGAAACTATACAAACCCTGTGCTATATTTTAGATGGGGTGGCACAGGATATAACAATATAACAAAGAACAAGAAGCTATACAAACCTTGTGCTATATTTCTGCTCATGATGAAACTGACCCTCTTCTTTCCTTCTGACGCCGGGGCCTCCATGTCTGGGGTCACTAGGTTAAGCTGGCAGAAAGAGAAAGCAATTATCTTATTAACTGATATACCTTCAATCAAATGAGATAAAGGATAAGATAAAGCATCACACAGCCTTTCTCAGGGATGAGACTTCTTGGCTCCCAAAAAGTCAGAAATCTGCCAATACTTGGAAGTCTCATTGCTGCTTTCTTGAATATTTCATTTCTGCCATGGGTGATGAAATACACATAATTTTAGGATTTTTTTTTGTCTGAGATTTATTCATAGTGTGTTTTAACTCATTTAGGTATTTCTAGGCCCGTAGGCTGTTGATTTATTACAAAAGTAGTAATAAGTATGACCTAAAATTGTTGCCCAATTTCAAAATTAATTTTTTATTAGCACAGTGAACATTTATTTTTTTAATTGGTCCATGTTCAACGCATCAATGCTGTGCTAGCAAGCATAATTCGATATACTTTATACTTCTGAACTAACAGTTAGGAATGCCCATGTTCAGTATAATACCTTAGCCTTCCTTGGTTCTGTCTTAGGTGTTTCCTTAACTTTGCTTGCAGCTTTTCTGACAAACAGGGGTGGTGTTGGGGTGACATTTTCAAATGTAGCAAATGAATTAGGGGTTGTCACTGCTTTGGATTTCTTCCCATGATCTTTGACCTTTGGGGTCATGGTCAATTCTACATTGCTGACAGATGAACCAGTTTTCCTCTTCTTAGATGAAATGTTAATTGTGGTTTCCTTATGTTCTTTTGTTGTTTCTTCTTTATGTGGTTCTCCTTTTGCAGTGTTTGTTTTCAAACCTGGATCAGCCTCTTCAATCTTGGCAGTTTGTTTTTCTGAAGTAAAATCTTTATTATTTTCTTCTGAAGTAGTTGGACCGTCAACTGCAGAAACTTTGCCTTTTTTCTTTTTCTTGTTTTTCGTCTTTTTAACAGAATCAGTCATCAAGCTACTTTGACTGAAATTAGTATCTAGAACAAAAGATTCATCATCTTTTTGTACATGATTTTTTGGTGATTCTGCTGTCGTGCATGTAGTTTCCTCTACGACAGAACCATTCGCTGGTTCCTTATTATTCTTCTCGTTTTTCTTCTTTTTAACAGAATGATTCACTTCATCACTTGGGCTTGAACTTTTTTCTTGCAGATGCACTAAATTGTTAGTTTCTTCATGTTGTCCATTAACTTGTAACATTTCTTCAATAACAGCACCTGGTTCTTTCTCTGATTTCTTATTTTTCTTCTTTTTTACAGACTGGCTTTCCTTGACATTTTGACTATGTTTTTTTTCTATCGAAGATTGGTCTTTTTTCATCTTTTTAGGAAGCTCATCTGTAGGAACACCATCACTTATTTGCAGAGCATTATTTTTCCCTCTTTTTGTCTTTTTTCGTTGAAACAACACCATTACTCTCCCCAATTCCTCCAACGAAAGAATCTGCATTGTCTGCAGCATTTTTTAATTTTCTTGACTTTTTCTGGGAGTTATTTGCCAAGTTTCTAGTAGTGGAATGACCTTCACCTTCTAGCTCATCATTTTTATCATTGCTCTCCGATTTACTCTGTTGCTCAGACTTGCATTTATTCTTTTTCTTCTTTGGAGGTTCTTTGTCTAGAATCCCATTAATCTGAGATTCATCTTCCTTCACAACTTGTTTTGATTTCTTCTTCTTCTTTTTCTTGGGTTCTTCTGGAATCCAATAAGTGAATATGTATAATACTAGAATTTACATCCTTTATTTTCTTACATGTTTTTATATGATATTTATAATAAACCTAAGGGACCGTATAATTTTATCAACAGTGAAATAATACAATTAGATTAACTTGTGTTTAACAGTTCCTAAAAATACTGCTTGATGTCATGGACAGTTAATTTAAAACCGAAATGTGCAAAGATTTCTGAATTTTTAAGTTAAACGGCAAATTTTCATGTTCAAAAACAAAATTGTTCACCACAGAAATAGAAAAAGGTGTCAGTTTCAAACAAATATTGATCACTGAGATGGATACCAGATTTTTAGCATAATACAATACAAAAATACCGTAATAATAGTCATAATATAACTGAAGTTTGCAAATTACAGCTTCAGCAACGACATACCTTCACTTCCTTCATGAGTTTCTTCTAATTTTCTCTTTTTTGTCTTCTTCTTTTTGATCCCCATCTTCTCAACCTTCCGCAGTCTCTGAACAGCCATGTTGAAATCTGCATTGCTGATTGGATCGTCTTCATCAGATGACCCTATGATGTCATCAGAAGGGAAAATACCTGCTGCCAGGTCTTTGAATCTAAAACACGAGACCCAGTTAATGTGTTAATGATGACTTATATGTGTAAATATTTTACTGTTTTCGTATTTATTTAGTATTTCTCATTTATTTTATTGACAGGTTAAGTTTACATAACATGACATTTTTTTGGTCATAAAACAGTCTTTCCAAGAAAAGTATAAAAATTATGCTTGTTGATCACAAAAAATTAAGCGCTTGTTTTGAGATACATCCAGTATATGGAACTAATATTATTGTAATAATACTACTAAGTGGTTATTTATACTACAACTAATAACTAAAGTCATTGCTTACCTTTTGACCAGGTCATATATGGCTGGCCTATTCCTAGAGAGACAATTGTTCCCTTTGGCTAGATCAAAGAGTTTGTCAGCAATTGCTGTGTAATCAAACTGAAAGGAAAAAAGAAAACTTAGGTGTGATATACCTTTATAATAATCTTGGATCTCACATTCATTTTCTCAAGCATGCACACATATGACTATGTGCACACACACACACACACACACACACACACACACACACACACATATGGCACAAATTTAATAATGTAAGAGAAGTTTGGAAATACTATGTGACAGATGGGTGAAAACCCCTTTATGTGGGTAAATTTAAAAAAAAATCAAAATTAAACATTATCTCTTCACCTGCAGCTTAGGTGCTTTGTCAGCATCCTGGTTCTCTTCTTCATCCTCATCCTCACTGTCGTCCTCCTCCTCATCTTTTCCAACATCAGACTGGTCAATGATGTTTTTAAAGATCCTGTTGACCACATGGCTGACCAGGTGCTTGCTGGAGATAACAAGAAACTTTGAACATTTTTTTCTACAAGTGGCATTAAAACACTTCTGCATATATCTTTGACAAGGAGAGGAAAAATTGATTCTTGTACAAAAGAAAATGACTGAACCTTTTTTAAATTGTTTTGTCACTTTTTTGTTGCTCATGTGTAAAAGTTAGTTAATCTGGAAATATCAGCTCATGGATGACACGAATTCCTGATATATAAAAATGCATTTTAAAATATTGGAAAATGATGTAATTACTGATTTCAGTCTAGCAGCCTACAAAGTCAAAACAGATTTTTGCGGATATTGAATATTTTACTAAGAATTGGCCAATGTAAATCTGAACACCTACTTCTGACACCGAGTCATCATGGTGCAGTAAGGTTCCAGGAATATCTGAAGGATGTCTGGTTTTAACTGGAAATGAGACATCACAATTATCAAAATAAGGCAGATAAGAGCAGCATTGTAAGAGAAAATATTAGCCCAGTTGAAGAATAACATATCAGTGTACACATTATCTTCTCACACAAAGAAAAATATAGTATGAGAAAATCTATAAAATTTTAAAATATAATACAATACAATACAATACATACACTGTCTATTCCCACAGAGGACAGTTCATCCAGATAAATGTCAGCCAAGTGAAACTTGAGGCCATCAGGGCCAGCGCTGTCACCGTCAGATATCACATACTTCTCCAGAATGGAAAGAAACTGCTTCACCAGAGTCACTTTCCACTTCTTTATCTTCAACATGAGTAAACACTGGTGTATCACCCGTCTGATGAGCTGGTGAACAGAAAATACTGTTATAAGTCATGCCAATTTGATCATGATTAAATCATAAGACCGGATTACATGACAAAAAAAAAAAAAAAAAAAAAAAAAAAAAAAAAAAAAAAAAAAAAAAAAAAAAAAAAAAAAAAAAAAAAAAAAAAAAAAAAAAAAAAAAAAAAAAAAAGCTTAAATAAAATTGAATGAAATTTGAGGTCAACAAGTCAATGATGATAAAGCTGGTACCATGTTTATGTTCTTAATTTTTATTCTTACTAGCAAAATGATTTCTTGAGTATTACAAAAACATGAAATTACTTATTTCAACCTGTGGGGGGAAAAATAACTTTAGCCTATTGGTTCAAAGTAGAAAAAGTGGCCAGTAACTGAACAAATTTAAAAAAATCATGTGCTTGCCCTCAATTTCACTGGCATTTGTGTTAATTAACATTGCAGACTTTCATTCTCAAATAAAGAAAAATATACAGTGGTATCTCAGTAGCTGACATTGCAATATTCTCACCATCATAAATTTATCCAATCTCAACCTATCTATCCCAAACCATTCCCTGCACTGTGTTTGGAAGAAGGCTTCTATGAACAGGAAGGCCTGAGCATTGTTGTCGAAGCACTGCAGGAGGTTGGCCAGGGTGTCTGCCAGGTCCTCCTGGATGACAGAAAATTAACACAATAGTTTCCTGGGTAATGGTTAAAGGTGAAATGTTAACTTCGGAAGCAATGTTTTCTTTGTAATATATGTAGATATAAAATCTGAAGAACAAAGAAACAGTTGGTGTTGATGATAGCTTCAAGAGACCTATCCTTATTTTTCTTTTACGGTCAATAAAGGTGTATTTTTTTAATGAATATTGATCAGAAGCAAAAACTTATTTTGTTCTGCACCCTGTTGATGTTTTCTATTCTCACCTGCACCAATGGCTTGTCACACATCCACATGCAGTAGTGTAAACCTTTCCATATCTTCAACATGTCATCTTCAGAGAATCCAACTGCAACAAAAATAAGTCAGTGATTGCATTATCGCATTATCGTACCATCAAAGACTCCAGTAATATTAATTGGTAAACTTACCACCTTTATTTCAATCTTTATTTTGAATTAATAACATGTTTTGCCGGGTTCACCAGTATCTTAGATTTATTAAGCAAATTAAAGAGTGAACTAAGCATGGTGAATTTCATCATTCTTTCTTTTTTATTTCAAGTTTTCTTTACAGTAATGGCCACTTGAAAACTCGTATTCGTAACAGTTCTCACAGACTTTAAAACAGACTCCCACGTGGGAGCCTACTAGAGTCAACTGTGACTCAATTGCCGGTCAATTTCTTAGCATTTTGACAACAAACATGGTCATACCTGACTGTGATCTCACGGATATGTACTTTCTCAGCTTTTTCACAGCTCGATCGCGAATTTTATTTTCATTGGCGGCTAATTTTTGGGCAAAATACACCTCCGCAGGTTGGAGTTGCATGGAAGCAGCCATCTTGGGAATTTCTCATACTCTCAATGCGATGTCCTTAGATAGTTTTAAATTGTACGTATATCTTTATAAAACGCTCCTATGTAAAGAATGGAAAGGTAATTTTTTGTTTATCTTGGCCAAGAAAAAAAGAAAAACAAGAGGATTAATCCATAAAATGAATAGTTCGATATGGTTTAGAGATTAAAAACCGCGCTACATTCAGTTCGAGGCCAGAGTGATGTCCACATCTTTCATACAGTTTACTTACTGCTCCATTTGTAGACAAAACCACCAGCAAGGCAAGAAACATGTGTTTTCAAAAGGCCATCGGGGGATTGTCAAGAACATTATTGATAAATTTTACAAAAAGGTACTTGATATTTTAAAGCAGTTTTTTTTTTCGATATAAGTTGCATTGCCAACCTCACTCTTCGTCTCTGTTTTTCTCAGAATGTATGTAACCAATGATTTGTCAGACACTTTTAGTACAAATTAGTTTGACTAACACATAAGTACAGCACGTCGAAAAAAGATAGACTCTACAGAAAATGAATAATTACTTATTTACTTTGCCAATACTTCTACAAGGTCCAAGCGGCCAAAAACGCCATGAAGACCCCGCTGGCTCACGAGTTGTCCTGGGAGATGGGGGCCACATTTTGGTGTTATTTCTGTGCCGAAGATGTAGAGAAACATACCAGGACTGAGGAAGCCACTGTGGAATATGGAGGCTTTATCCAACACTTTCTTAGGTATGGTACTGACCCATTAATTCCGAACAAAATTGATGAAGTATGTTTCCCAAATAATGTGTACAAGACAAGGGGCCACAAGTTTGTCATACTTTTTTTTCTGAAATAAACAAACAAAAAAACAAAATTTTCCTAAATTAATTTTTATAGGGTAGTCATTTTTTTCCTGACAAACTTACCTGAGGACTGTTTTAAAAATTCTGCCATACCTCTTTTTTTTTTTTTTTTTTTTTTTTTTTTTTGGGGGGGGGGGTGTAAATTCAATTACTTTTTGTGGCTTTAAATCAAGGCATTTATCTATAAGAAACCTAAACTGATATTTTATCAGCTGAAAAATTCATTATCAGGGAATGGGGTTTGAAAGGTGTAACATGGCTCTTGTTTTCATTTTTTTCTACCATCATTTCAGTGCTTCACACATCAAGAGTATGCATCACTTTTTC